GGGGGGCGGTAAGGGAGCAGAGGGGGAGGGGAACCAGGTGGAGGGGAGCTATGGGGGGAAAAAAGAGGAACAACTGTAATAATCTGAACAGTAGAGATTTAATTTTAAAAAATAAAATAAATAAAGCTGTTGAATCAAAGTCCTACTAATTCTAGCTTTACTGTGGATCTCAAATTTCCCTTCTTAAATTTTTTTTTCTGCCTTCATCATGCTAGCATTGCTATGATATAATTAGAAGAATACTGGGTTTGAAACCATTATCTGGGGCGATCCAAAATGGATGCAAAGTAAGTGGCAGCTACACACACCTCCTCCTGGCACCATACCAGATTTACAGTTAAATTATAAAGCAATCAACTGGAATGACCAACTGAAGGACAGTTGAATAGGAGTATTACATCCAAGTATATATAAAAGAAGCTACGTAAAGACTGGTAAGAAGGGCAGATACATGGAGAGGGCTGGCCCCAGCACCCAGGTACAGTGGCTAAGAAGCCAGAGGATATGTCAGCTGTAAAAATCCGTCCTAAGAAGTGTGGAGTCTCAACCCCATGCCAGGAACCCCAAACCAGAGCAGCAGGGCCAGGAAGAGGAATCTGCATAGCATTTGGCAGCAAAGATCAACATGGACTCTGTCAGCTGGAAAGAGGAGGGAGTCTGCTAGCATCCTAGGTACTCTTCTAAGGGGCCAACCCACAGGAGCTCACTCTTGGAGACTTACCCGTGGCTCTGTTAGAGGGGAGGTGACTCAGGGCATGCAGAGGGATACAAAGAGGGTCTGGGTGGTGTGGCTCTGGGAGAGCTCTGGCAAGTCGGCTACTGAGGTTCTGGTCCTGAGTCAATATACCACACTGCTCCATCTCTCAGGGTCAGGCATTCTTGTTCTTACAGCACCAGTTGGGGAGAGCACTAACGTGGCATTCCAAATACTGGTGACAGCACCCTACCAAGCTCGAGTCTGGCAGAAAAGGCTATTGGCAGACACAGAGGAAACAGTGAATAGTATGGTAGCTCCAGACAGGTAACCCAAGGCCAATTCACAACATTTGACATTGACCTGCACCAGAGCCCAGGCCAAGGAGGCCCCAAACCAACATAACCACTGGTAGGCTTCAAACCACACAATAGCTTGGCCCACCTAGCCACACAAATGGCATTGCCAAAGGGAGACTTCAGCAAACACCATACCCTGCTAGAAACAGCTCTGCTTCAGAGGCAGCTCCTGAATGAGCTGTGAATGAGGTCTATCCTTATAATCAGCCAGCTTGAGAATTAGCTCTACCCATGCATGTGCCAACAGCATTTAAGACTCAACTACAATAGGAGAGAGCACATAGCCCACACAAGAATTATTTCTTGAGCACCTAATTCAGGTAATCTAGAAGATTCTGCCCCTGAGACCTATAAGGCACCTACATCAGAAAGCCCTCATAACAAGCTTGGGAGTCATAGAAGATCTACCTAATACACAAAGACAAGCACAAAAAAAGGAGACAAAATGGGGAGACAAAGAAATATGCCCCAAATAAAAAAAATAAGAGAAATCCCCAGAAATATAATAAAACAAAGTGGAAGCAATCAAAATACCAGGTGCAGAGTTTAAAACTATGGTTATAAGGATGTTCAAGAACCTGAGGGCTCTCACAGCGATAACTTCGGACAAACAGTTCAACCTTTGACTCCACACAGATAAAAACACCTGTAAGCAATGCTTTGTCCAATAGTTCTATGTGCTGATTTCTCAAATTTGTAATAATCCATCAGGCTACCTGAAAATAAATAATGTTTGCTTCACCTTGTTTATAGTTCTGTGCTGTGTGCATAACTTGTGTAGATGTATTTCTATGAAGTAAATCGTTAGTTCTCCATGAAAAAAAAAGAAGAAGAACCTGAGAGGATGAATGGATGATCTCAGTGAGAGTTTAAACAAAGAGATAATAAGCATTAAAAAGGACATAGAAGAAAAAAAAGAAACCATAAAAAAGAACCAATCAGGAATGAAAAATACACTATCTGAAATGAAGAATACACTAGAAGGAATCAACAGCAGATTAGATGAAGCAGAGGATTGAATGAGCAATTCAGAGGACAAGATAATCCTAAGCACCCAAGCAGAGCATCAAAAATAAACGAGAATTTTTTTAAATGAGGAAAGTCTGCCATGGCCAGTGTTTCTGAGTAGTTAGAGCATCAGCCCCTGCACCAAAGGGTTTTAGGTTCTATTCTTGGTCAAGGGCACATACCTGGGTTGTAGATTTACTCCCGCCCCTGGTCAGGTCATGTATGGGAGGCAACCAGTAGATGTATCTTTCTCACATCAATGTTTCTCTCTCTTTCTTTCTCTCTTTCTTTCTCTCCACCTCCTTCTCTCCCTTCCACTCTCCCTGAAAAACAAAGGAGGAAAGAAAGAAAATTAAAAATTAGGAAAGTTTAAGGGACTTCTGGTACAACATCAGGCATAACAACATCCACATCATAGGGATACCAGAAGGAGAAGAGGGTGAGCAAGGGATAGAGAACCTGTTTGAAAAAATAATGACTAAAAACTAACCTGGTGAAGGAAAAAGTTACACATATTCAGGAAGTCCCAACCAAGATGAACCCAGGCCTGGCCATGTGCCTCAGATGGTTGGAGCATTGTTCCTTACACCAAAAGATTGTGGATTTAATTCCTGGTCAGGGCACATACCTAGGTTGCAGGTTCAATCCCCAGTCAGGGCACACACAGGAGGCAACCAATCAATATTTCTCTCTCACATTGATCTATCTCTTTCCCCCTCTCTCTTCATCTCTCTCTCTAAAACCAATAAAAACAACTTCTCAGGTGAGAAATTAAAAAAAAGATAATCCAAAGAGGCCCACACCAAGACACATAATTAAAGTATCAAAGATTAAAGACAGCCTGCGGCGGTTCTTGTGGGCACTTCGCCATTACAGATGAGAGGAGGTTCTTGATAAGAAGTACTTGCTAGACTTCAAGATATCAGAAGAGAGGTGAAAGTATATTGTAACTTTGATTGGACTTAACAGTTTCTGCATGT